TTATTATGCAGAGAACACTTTCTGAATCATTTTTATCTGTTTGGTCTGTGTGTGTATAAAGCATATTGCAGCATCTCAAGGAAACGACAACTGCGTGCGTCTTTTGCTCGATTTTGGAGCCAATCCTAACAGCAGAGGTAACTAACTATTCTAACGTAAAAATCAAAAAATCTCTCCCAGTGTTGGTGATTAGTAATAATTTGTGTCTGAAAACTACTATGTTGCAAGTGATTAAAAATTGGCTAAATCGCCCCTAATATCACAACATTTTTCGAAATTGCAATTTAATCACAACCTTTTCACTTTTGCAAATTTTGCACGGGTTCTGAAAACCAGCAACATAAAAGATGATGTGGCCGAAGAACAAACTGAAGATTGTGATATATTTCGCACGGGTTATGCAAATCGGTGTACCGAATTGCAATAAACTGGAGATTGTGATATAATTTTCAAAACTGAAAATTAAATTGCAACTAAGAAAAAGTTCGTGATATTACGAACAATTTTCCCTAAATAAGTAATTTATCTCCAAAACCACGTTTTTTTTATCGTGCAGATTCACAAGGGAGCGTCCCGATGTGGGAGGCCATCCTCAACGGCCACAAAACGATAACCAAACTCTTGTCCGAAAACGGTGCCACACTCACCTCGGGCGACATCGCCCAATTCTCGTGCACGGCCGCCGAACAAAACAATCTCGACGCACTAAACGAGATTGTCCGTCTCGGCGGCGACGTGTCCCTTCCAAATCACAACCACCGAACGGCCCTCCACGCCGCCGTCTGCGAGGGAAGCCACGAGACGGTCGAATTCCTCCTCGACCGCGGGGCCGACCCCGACGCGCCTGACGCGGACGGGTGGACCCCACGTGACCTAGCCGAGCAGCAAGGCCAGGAAAACATTCAAAAGCTCTTCGACTCTCACGAGACGCGAACAAAAGTCGAGCCCAAGACAATAATCTCGGAAAAGAGCCGTGGGGTGGGGTTCTTGGGGGGACACAAGAGCGAGCCGGCAATGCCGCCGGCGGAGTCGTGGGGCGGTTCCCGACACAGGCGGCGGGCGGCGACGGGAAGTTTTCACAATTCTTTGTTTGGGGTCGTCTCGGCTGCTGCACGTAACAGTTTAAATCCTACTCCGGGGTTGAGGGTGAGGATGAGCTGTCCCGAGAAGGGGGATTTTGGCGGGAAGCTTGTGCTTCTACCAGAGAGTTTCGAGAAGCTTCTGGAAATGGGGAGGTCGAGGTATGGGGTTTTGAGGTGGAAGGTTTTGAGCGGAGATGGGGCGGAGATTGAGGGTTTGGAGGTTGTGAGAGATGGAGATCATTTGGTTTTCGCGAGCGGGGATGGGGAGAGGATGGATTGACGGGAATAGGGATATACTGATCGAATGTGTGACTGCAAAGTGGTCTGCGTTTGGATCTATCATTTTCTTGATGACGTTCATTGTTTCATCATATTTTTGGTTAATTCTTTTGTCTAGTAACCAACTAGTTTTCTGTAGTATAGTTATCCTAACCTCGTTCCTTTTTGTCTCCCGTGAAGTAATAGATCCTTGTATTAGTTGGAGCTTTGGTTAATTCTTCTTCCTAGAGTTAGAGGACTCTATGCAATGAATGAAAGGTAATTCAAAAGTGAATGTAGAATTGTTGATTTCAATTTTCTTTTTGTTGACGTTGTGAATTAAGTACTCTCTTTAGCCGTATCCCTAAGGCTTGATTGGATATAGAATATCCAATTATATTGTGAATTAAGTACTCTCTTTAGTTGCATCCTTACGGCTTGATTGGAAATTATGTATCCAGTTATGACTGACGGAATAATTTTTTTAACTTAAAATCCAACTAAAATTTAACTCAACTCAACCATTCTCAATATATAAAAGTATTTGTTGTCCCAAAATTCTCTCTCTTGAGATCCCTCATTTCTCTCTTTGAGAGAAACCTAATTTCTCCATTTGAGATCTCTTTTGTTCCTCTTCTTTAGAGCATTTAGATTCTGTTGTTTGGGGGAAGGCCTGTTTTAGGCTTAGGAGTTTCGGTTGGGTTCTTAGAGGTTTTGAGCTGGGAGGAAAGTCTCAGGGTTTCCAGCTTTTTTCGTGGGGTGTTTCGTTTTGGTTTAAACTTTTTGTTTTTCATGTTGTGCAAGATCTGAGAAGGAATCTAACGTGACTCGTTCTACTAGTTATACAGGTGGGACAAATAGTTGGGCAATAGATTAAAAAAATGGCGCTGCCAGCTTCAGAAAACAAGGTGATTAAAATCAAGGATGAAGATGTTAAAGCTAGCTAGAAGGAATGTACCAGAAGTCTGTTTGGGAAAATAATCGGGAAAAGAAAAGCGAGCTTAATTACCATAAGAAGAACAATGGGCCTTATCTAGCAGATTCAGAAACAAGTAGAGGTGAGAGAACTCAGTGCAAATTTCTTTCAATTCATTTTTGGGAGTAATGAAGATAAGAAGAAAGTTTGGTATGGTGTTAATTGAAACTTTGAAAATCAATACTTGATTCTGTTGGATTGAGAGGAAGGTTTGTCAAAGCATGATCCTAAATTTTCTGAACTCAATATAGGTAAAAGTCAATAATATCCCCCTAAATTGGCTTAGCACAAAAGTAGGAGTTAAGATTGGGAAAATTTTTAAGAAAACAAAAATTGTTGCCGTGATTAAAGCTGGAGGTATGAGAGGTAGTTTCCTTCGGCTTCAAGTAACGGTGTATGTTAAAGAAGCTCTCCCCAAGTGTGTGAATATGAAATTGCACAACTAGCAAGTGATGGTCAACTTTCAGTATGAAAAATTGGCTAGCCTTTGCTATTAATGTGGGATGATTGGCCACTTGGATAGAATGTGTGAGAAAAGGCTTGAAGATATATCAAATAAAACTCTAAATGAGAGACAATTTGAGTACTGGATAAAAGTTATGGAAGGGAGATTTTGATCAAAGACCCATTCAATTAATAGTCCAACCAGCCAATCAAATGATTCCCTAACACCATCTTGTAATCCTCCTCAACAATCTTTTGAAAGAGATGATTCAAACATCTCATCTAGTAGAGAAAATATTCTTAGCCAGTCAAAAGAGCTGAGTTTGAAATTGACAATAAGAGGAGGAAGACCTGTAGTTATGATGGAGCTAATTGAGAATAAAGGCCAAGCAAGGGTGTATGCAAAGGAATAAATTGTTGTTAGGGTCTACTGCAACTGCAGTTAACAAAATCCCACCATGTGGGCCCTTCAAATGACATCTATCTACACCAATCAGTAGTCTACACCCAACTTTATAACCCTCCTCCAAAGCACTAAAACAAACATAAAACTTGCGAAATCTCTCTATCACCACTCACTTTTTCAGTTGCTAATACCACTGTTGAACCAGGATGGGAAGATCTGAGTTCCTCTGCATAATCTCATAGCTGTGAGTATTGATCATCAGGATGTCCTTGAAGAACATTCATGGCCCTTCTCTTAACCATGTAAGCCTGATCTTTTGAGATATTCACATTAAGCTCATGAATTACATTGCGCCTCCAGCCCTTCACACTTCTCTTTGGGTCAGTTTGAAAATTGCTAATGTACCTAGCACTCAGCTACTTAGACTTAATGTTCTTCATATTGAATGTCCCATGACATGTATGATTGGGAATATTCTCTAATTTGGTAACTAGATTGTCCTTTCATTTGTAAAAGATTACATCTCCACTTATAGCCTCCATCATCACATCTAACATAGACCCTAATCATATCATTTTTAATTGTCTTTAGGTCCTCTTTGTTTTAATTGAAAGTGATTGAATGGCCTTTCTATACTCTTGTTTAGTTGCAAAACCCATCCCCAACTCAAACTCATGATCAAATATAAGTTAAGGATTGAAGATGAGAGTATTTAGCTCTGGCTCATTTTCACTATCAACTAAGTCATCTATCTAACTTATAAGAATTAACAACCACATCTTCATTATTACTATTATTGGACTCTGACTCATCCTCTCCATTGGCACCTGTATCTACATGCTCAAAGAATAATGCATCATCATCTTCGCTACTAGCATTCCTCATGTCATAATCACTATTAAAGAATTCATCATACCAATCAGTAGAATGCCCATATCCACATAACCCTCAGCATTCTTAGCATCACTCAAATGAATTCTTTGTCAACCCTAATAAGACTATTCTCTTAAGTAACACCCTCTACACCAACAAGATTATCCTCATTTACATCATTCTGATTCTTAATCCCACTACCAACCCCAACATTATTATCCTCTTGAGTAACACTCTCTACACCAATAATATTATCTTTACCTACATCATTATGATTCCTAACCCCACTACCAACCTACGAGATTATTCTCTTGAATAACACCCTCTACACCAACAACATTATTCCCACTGTTACTCTTAGACCCACTCTCACTCTTACTATTACTGTCACTAGCACTCCCACTCTCAGACACACTCTTACTCCCACTATCACTCTAGTGTCAGTGTCACTCTCATCTTGATCCACCCATCTACCTTCAATAGACAAACTAGAAGGTTCAAAAGTGTTGAAAACTTCCACAAACACAATCTACTCCCTTTCAAATAAGTGGGACTTTGCCTAAACTCTAATGTTATCATCCCCTTCTATCCTTGTCAGACTCAAACTCACGTGTATGAAATATCTCCTGTCACCAACAACACCATATTTTGTGGAAGACATTTTTAGTTTCTTTTCAGACATTTCATTAGCAGGTACAAAATCAAGCACCATTTTATGGCCACCTTCTTATACTCTAATATCTGACTCCTGAAATTTACCACCACACCACAGGATGACAGTGATTGGTCACTCCTTCGATCTATGCATGAAGAAAGAAAAAAAATTAGGCAATAAATAATCACCTAATATAATAACAAAAAGAGGTGGGGGGCCATTTTCAAAACGGACAAGGAGACTTAATAGCACATGGAGTCAACTAATTTGGAAACAAACAACCCTGAAAACGAAAAGGGGACATAATATCACCTCAGAATAACAAGTAACTTGCTCGTATTACTATGTTTTTGAAAAAATTCGAATAACTTACCGTAGCTTGGATTGGGGAAATCCCAGTAACTTTTCGATTTAATTTTGATTCTCGTACCCATAGATTAAACTCAGGAACATCTATAATTTTAGATAAATCTAGGATGAAATTCGAATGAGAAATTTTTTCTAATATGACTATGTTTTCTCAATTTAATCCTTTAACTAATATGTACCCGTCCGTTTTCTCTCCAAATTCGTTTGAGATGACAATTTAATTTGTCATTTCATTTTTTTTATTTTATTTTATGTTATAAAATTATTTTTTTATCCACGTTGTTGGAGTTCGTAGGCAACATCAACATTAATGGACTCAAAACGAGTCACGTGATCGGCACGTGTAATTATCGGCCAAAAATCGCCAAATTTGATGATCAAAAGACCTAAATTGCGTCAAAATTATTTTTTTGTACTCAATGTGCCACATACCTTTCCTATAAGATTAAAATTGCTCGTCCATTCGAAAGTTCGGACTAAAAATACATTTTAGCCTATAATTAAAACTCATCCAAATTTTGAGCAGCTCACACCGTCCGTCACTCCTCTTGTCCACCTTACACTGCTACTCTCTTCGCTTCTTCTGACCATTGACAAGTAGCCACTTCAAAAAGACACCGAAACAAAATAGAATATAATAAAATAAAATGGCAAGCCGGAGGCCAAGAGTGGCGATAATCGGCGCCGGGATGGCCGGCCTCGCCGCCGCCAACAGGCTCCAAACCGCCGCTTCGCATCTATTAGACCTCGTCGTCGTGGAGGGCGGATCCCGAATCGGAGGCCGCATCAGCTCTTCCGTGTTCTGCGGCGACCGAGTCGAACTCGGCGCCACTTGGATCCACGGCATCGAAGGCAGCCCGGTCCACAAAATCGCTCGAGACAACAACTTGCTCCATTCCCGCGGCCAGCCTTGGGAGTGGATGCACGGGATGCCTCAAGACCCCGTAACCCTAGCGGAAGGTACCCACGAGCTCGATCCTTCTTTAGTAGAACCGATTTCAAATCTTTTCCAAAATCTCATCAATGACATTCGAGGCAAATCCGTCGATGAAGACGGCGTCACCTCCGAAATTGTGAAGCGCTTGGCGGGAAAATACTCCGGCGCCGGTAATAATAGCGTCGGTTCTTTTCTTAGAGACGGTTTGGATGCTTATTGGGAAATTACGAAAGATCAGAAAGATACTGCTGGTGATTTGAGTAGAAGATCTCTGGAAGAAGGGGTTTTCCGTTTGCATGAGAATATACAGAGGAGTTATTCAGCCTCGGACGATTTGGGGACTCTCGATTTTGATGCCGAGAGGGTTTACCAAATGCTTCCGGGGGAGGAGATTACTATAGCTGGTGGATACTCTGGCGTGATTGAGTTCCTGGCTCGGGCTTTGCCTGCAGGGATCATACAATTGAATATGAAGGTTGATAAAATCGAATGGCAGCTTGGCGATGAAGATAGTCATGAATGTGGACCAGTTAAGCTGCATTTTAGCGACAGTTCGGTTCTTACAGCCGATCATGTGATAGTTACGGTTTCTCTTGGGGTTCTCAAGCGCGGGATTATTCCGGGCCAGGAAATCTTTAGTCCTCCATTGCCCGATTTCAAGAACCGAGCAATTTCGAGGCTCGGGTATGGGCTCGTGAACAAGGCGTTCCTGCAAGTGGTTGATTGTGACAATCAATTGGGAGACAATGACTTGGAGTTATCGTTCTTGCAAATGGTTTTTCACAGTCGGGATTCGAAGTCTAAGGACCCTGAGATTCCTGATTGGATTAGGAAGACTCCTTTGTTGTACCCAATTTACCGGAATTCGAGAGTTTTGCTGTCCTGGTTTGCTGGAAAAGAGGCCCTTGAGCTTGAATCCCTTGGCAAGGACGACATAACTAAAGGGTTCTCAATAACCACCTCCAAATTGATGATGCCAAAATCAAATGGCCTAATTTTGCCGATTAACTGCCGAAAATCTTGCAGCAGGGTCCCTGATGGGAAAATTTTGAGGTTTGGGGATGTTTTGAGAACCCAATGGGGCACGGATCCTCTGTTCTTGGGATCATACAGCTATGTGGCGGTTGGGTCGAGTTTAGATGATATGGATGTATTGGCAGAACCATTGCCAGAAAACAAGAACAATCTCGATTCGACTAAAAAACTGCAAATTCTATTTGCAGGCGAAGCCACGGATAGAACGCATTATTCGACTACTCATGGCGCTTACTTTAGCGGGCTTAGAGAAGCTGATAGGCTTCTTGAACATTATAATTGTGCTGCCCTATGAGTATCTTTTTTATTTGCTGGAGCGGAGGTTGGTCGAGTATTGAACACTATAATTGTGATGTTGTATGGGTACCTTCTGTTCTGCAGGAATAGAAATTGGTCAAGTTCTTTTCCATTCGTAGATATATTTTCTTTTATCACGAGGAAGAGTATTAAATTCTTATCTTGAGCTAAGATTATTATGAGTGAATTCGATCTAAGGTTATCATGAGTGTATTCAATCCATTAAGTGTGTTTTTTTGTTTTTTTGTTTTTTTTTCTTCAAAATAGTTGGATCAAACACATTTACACATACGAAATGTTTTTAATCCATCGGTAAAATACCGGGGCCCGGGCAACACATTGGTACATACAAATTTCCCGGTTATTATGCGACCTATCACAATAGTAGAAGCGAGTCCAAGACCAGTTATTAATAGAGGCTTAACTTTGTTTAAATCATTAAGTTGTGACACAATTCCATGGATTGATAAAAATGGTATTACCAAACATTCACAAGATCACATCCATCGACTTTTAGGTACAAGAGAGTTAAATCCTTCAACTACACCACGATTTTAGGTACAAGAAAGTTAAACCCTTTAACTACACCCCATATCTTTCTTTACAATCTGCTACTCAAAATGAGTCACAAAAGTCTAAAACCCCCTATTAAGTTGTCTATTTCCATTTGTTCTTCTTTAATGCATAAAGAAAAACCCTCCCAAATCTAAAATCTAGTTCAACCACTACAATTGGTCAAAACCCTAGTTACCCTTTTTCCTAAACCTTTTCATTCATTTAAACACTTCGTCAACAAACTCAGCCCACAATGCATCTTCACCATTATCGCCAGAATCGCAGCCGTCGGTCAAAAATCCGCCCAACTCCCCAAAGTCCAGGTCCACGTCACCCTCCTCAAGGCTCCCCTCCGTACACAACCCACGCTCCACACTGCAGCCACACTCCCACGCGCCACCCCTCATCCCGCCGCCGCCGCCGACGTCGACACTGGCCATGACGGACGAGTAGGAATCGGAGAACGAGGAGCCGCAGGACTCCTCGTTTCCGTTGATCGTGACGTAGGCCGACGAGGACTGGACCACCACCGGTATTGAGTAAGGGTCGTCGGCGAACCTCAGCTTCACCGGCGGCACGGTCTCCGACGAGTCCAGCAGCTCCGACAGCTCCGTCTCCGTCTCGTCGTCGACGACGAGCCACGAGGCCACCGCGCCGTCATCCTCGTGCGCCCCCTCGCCGGAGACCGCCGCGGGTCCGGTGCTATCCCCTTCCATTTTTCACCTGGAAAGTGACAGTGACAACTGTGTACGACGTCGTATTTGGGTCTGACAAGAGAAAATGTGAATATATGTTGTTCTATGGGTGAGGGTAGTGGAGGAGGCATTTAATGAGATTGTGAAAGGCGGTGGGTGTGAGACAGTGCCACGTCGGCTTGGATTTGGAAGCATTTGCAAATGTGCAGAGCAGTAGAGGAACAGTAGGGATCTCGTCTTTCGTGCTGCCACCGTAACAAAATCTTTGATTCTTTCATGATACTTATTTTTTAACTATTCAAAAATTTAATATTGCGTTCAATTTGACTGGCCCCCTCAACCAATTGACCACGAGTTTTAGGCCCAAATTGGGATTGGGCCCATTGTTTGAGCGGGCCAGTTGTTTAGCGACGATCCTATCCCAAAATATATTTTTATGTCGATGAGATCGAGGAATTATTTTATCGAAGATATTTATGTCGATGATATCAATGAATTATTTCTAGCTGTAGATGAGGAGACAACCTCTCACGCTGTCGCTTCGGCCAACTTTGAGTCAACATTGACATTCAAATACACATATCATGAATTTTTTTATCATCTTCATCTAGTTCATCTTCATATCTGTTATCAATTCATTACACTGTACACATTTCTTCTTTCTAATTTATTAATCATTACACATTTACACTGTACACATTTCATCTTTCTAATTCATTACACTGTCACTCATCTTCATTTCTTCTTTCTAATCCATTACAATGTCACTGCCCAAAAACAAATCAATCTAGTATTTTCTTATTACAATTTGTTAATTTGAAATTTGTGACTTTAGAAAATAAAACAAAAAAAATACTTACAGTTACAACCGTGTGCGGTGTGCCTGGACGACCGGTGACCACGAGCTCCTTGACCAGACGGAGCAGCGAGCGACGGACGACTGGTGCGAGTCGACGACCGGTGACCACGAGCTCCTTGACCGGACAGAGGAGCACCGAGCGACGGACGACTGGTGAGCAACGGAGGAGTAGCGGCTAGGGGTGTAGCCGTGTAGGGGCGGAAGATTTTGGGACGGCGGGGACGGGAGGGATTGGGGAAGGCAGGCGTGCGGCGCGTTTCTGAAATGAGGAGAAGACAAGGTACAGATACAGAGAGCGATTAGGAATTTAGGATTTAGGGTTATGGACTTTATTGTTAATATTTGTATTAAATTATTATAATATAATATATAATATAATATATATATATATATATATATATATATATATATATATATATATATATTATATTGATTTATTTAAAAAAATTACAAAGAAAAAAAATTTATGCATGAAATTTATATTAATTGTATAATAAAAAAAACTTAATAATCGTATTAAAGTTATTACAATAATTATGAATCTATTAGGTTTTGCATAATCTTTCTACTCGACTATATTAATTAATATGTTTTATATAATATATTTTATAAATTATTTATAGTGATAAATATAATAATTTTTTAAATATTTTTATGTCGCCGTAGGAGCCGCCTACGCTCTAGGAGATGAACTTCAATTCACGGCCTAAAGAGCAATGTTTGGATTTGTTTTGAGATAAAAATGTTGAGCTAAAAATGTTTTGATTGTTTTAAAATTTTTATATCCAACATCCTCTAGCTAATTTTAGAACATTGATAAATTTAGATATTTTTATCTCAAATTGACAAAATATACATTCACAGTGCAAATCAACATGTGACTAGGGGTGTTCAAAGTTCGACTAAAATCGACTGAACCGATCGAAACCGACCGAACCGACCAATTCGGTTCGGTTTTTGTTCGACTTGGTCGGTAGTCGGTTTTCGATTTGTAAATTTTCGGTTTTGTCGGTCGGTTTCGGTTTCGGACATAAAATGACCGAATAAACCGAACCGACCAATTAATATATATATATATATATATATATATTATATTATATATTATATTATAATAATTTAATACAAATATTAACAATAAAGTCCATAACCCTAAATCCTAAATTCCTAATCGCTCTCTGTATCTGTACCTTGTCTTCTCCTCATTTCAGAAACGCGCCGCACGCCTGCCTTCCCCAATCCCTCCCGTCCCCGCCGTCCCAAAATCTTCCGCCCCTACACGGCTACACTTCTAGCCGCTACTCCTCCGTCGCTCACCAGTCGTCCGTCGCTCGGTGCTCCTCCGTCGCTCGGTGCTCCTCTGTCCGGTCAAGGAGCTCGTGGTCACCAGTCGTCGACTCGCACCAGTCATCCGTCGCTCGCTGCTCCGTCTGGTCAAGGAGCTCGTGGTCACCGGTCGTCCAGGCACACCGCACACGGTTGTAACTGTAAGTACTTTTTTTGTTTTATTTTCTAAAGTCACAAATTTCAAATTAACAAATTGTAATAAGAAAATACTAGATTGATTTGTTTTTGGGCAGTGACATTGTAATGGATTACAAAGAAGAAATGAAGACGAGTGACAGTGTAATGAATTAGAAAGATGAAATGTGTATAGTGTAAATGTGTAATGATTAATGAATTAGAAAGAAGAAATGTGTACAGTGTAATGAATTGATAACAGATATGAAGATGAACTAGATGAAGATGATAAAAAAATTCATGATATGTGTACAGTGTAATGAATTAGAATGAAAGAATCTTAGTGAATCAGATGTTGACCAACTTTGTGGAAAAATTCAGAATGTCCGATGAGTGACATATGATAATTGATAACAGTCTAAATAATATCCAAAAATTATGTGAAAAATTGTAACAGTTTGCCTTTTTACATCAAGCCATGTTTTATGATGCATTGATTTGTGCTCCATAAACATTGTGCTGACTGCATTTTGCCTTTTCTCTGAAATTCAGAAAACTTGGACTGTAGATGTCAAGTCAAGAAGAAATGGATGAAAGCACGAATCCTGTGGATAAGTCCTCAAAGGAGACACCGACTATACCTTCAACAGGAGATTCATCAGAGGTTAAAAGAGACGCTGCACGATGTAAAGTACGGCCAAGATCTAGGGCATGGTCTCATTTTGACCAGATTCTTGACGCAAAGAAGGTTGTGGTAGGTGCTCAGTGCAAGCATTGCAAAAAGCAATATGCTTGCCATACAAAACGAAATGGTACCTCATAACTTCTTGCTCATATGAATAGTTGCATGAAAAACTCTGAAAATGTGGATGCGAACCAGTCTTTAATAAACGTGCAACAAGGAAAAGAGGGTGTTGTTGGGTCGGGTTCGATATCTAATTGGAAATATGATTATGGTGAGATTCGAGAATCTATTGCATATATGATATGTTCTGATGAGTTTCCCTTTAAATTTGTGGAATGTCGAGGATTTAAATTGCTTATGAGCAGAGCATGTCCTAAGTTTAAAATTCCTTCTCGGACCACTGTTACAAGAGATTGCTTTGATATGTTTGTTAAAGAGAGGTCAAAGTTGAAATCTTTCTTGAAAAGTAACTGTCAAACGGTTTGTCTTACCACTGATACTTGGATGTCTCTGCAAAAAATTAATTATATGTGCATTACCGGCCACTTCATCGATAATGATTGGAATTTGCACAAAAAAATCTTGAATTTTGTTCACGTTACGAGCCACAAAGGTGATTATATTGCCAAGTCACTTGAAACTTGTATTCTTGATTGGGGGCTAAAAAATGTCTTTACGGTAACGATGGATAATGCAAGCTCAAATGATACGGCATTAGAATTTTTGAAAAATAGAATGATGGATTGGGGGGGTACCATTGCAGATTGTAAATACATTCACATGAGGTGCATTGCCCATATTATTAATTTGATTGTTAGTGAGGGCCTTAAAGATGTAAAACCATCAGTGAAACGGGTGAGGGCGGCTATTAGATACATAAAAAATTCTCCTACTAGACTTCGAAAATTTAAAGAGTGCGTGGAATGGGAGGGTATAAAGTCCAAAAAGTCATTACGTCTTGATGTCAAAACGAGGTGGAATTCGACTTATGTGATGCTAAGCACGGCGGAAAAATTTGAGAAAGCATTTGCTAAGTATGCAAGAGACGAAACTTCTATTGTAAAGGATTTGGGAGATGATTTAGTTCCTAGTTCTTATGATTGGTCTTGTGCTCGCAAAATTTCTGAATTGTTGAAGTACTTTTATGATGCTACCTTACGGATTTCGGGCTCTTTGCATGTCACTTCGAATACTTTTTTTGGTGAGATTAGCGATTTGTGTTGCACTTTGGATGAATGGAGAAAGAGCGATGACCTTTTGAAAAAGGACTTGGGTGACTTAATGAAAATAAAATTTCTTAAATATTGGGGAGAGCCGNCCTAACCTAATACATCATCTCATTTCGCCGCTATCTAATCTATCGTCCAAAATCCAAATCCTCCCGCACGGCCGCACCTTCCCTCAAATCCTCCCCGCCGTCCCCAGATCTTCCGAGTTCCGACCCTACACGGCTACACCCCTAGCCGCTACTCCTCCGTTGCTCACCAGTCGTCCGTCGCTCGGTGCTCCTCCGTCGGTCGATGCTCCTCCGTCCAGTCAAGGAGCTCGTCATCACCGGTTGTCGACTCGCACCAGTCGTCCGTCTCTCGCTGCTCCTCCGTCGCGCTCCTCCGTCCTCGCTGCACCTCCGTCGTCGCTGCTCCTCCGTCCTCATTGATCCTCCATCGTCGCTGCTCCTCCGTCCGGTCAAGGAGCTCGTGGTCACCGACTCACCGGTCGTCCAGGCACACCGACTCAGCCTGTAACTGTAAGTATTTTTTTTGTTTTATTTTTTTGTAACTGTAACACATGCTCTTTGTATTCTTGATGTGTAGAGGTGATGTGAATTTTGTTAACTTTCAACTTAAATTGGACACTTTTCTTGGCATCACACGGAGAAGCTGAGTTGGATTTGGAAGAAACAAGAAGTGCGCTGTAATAAGATTGGACACTTTTCTTGGCATTTTGTTGAATTAATCTCAAACCATAATTCCACCTGCAAACGCCCAATTGATCTTTCAGTTCCTCAACTGCTCCAATGCTTGTGGCTACTATCCAACCATTTCTAGCTGCTCTACTCATTCTTTTTTCTTTATTTATTTAATTTGTATTTGTGTGTGAAATTGTGTTATTGTGTGTGTGTGTATGAAATTGTGTTATTGTGTGTGTTATTGTCTGATGAGTGTCATATGAAATTGTGTTATTGTTATTGGCTTATTGTGTGTATGAAATTGTGTTATTGTGTTATTGTGTTATTGTTATGGGTGCTTTGTTTTACTTTTTGGACTTGTTTTGGAGACTTGGGATGTTGTTTTTATCATTTTCTGGACTTTGCTGTGGTTTTTTTTTATTTTTCTGGACTTCTATGGGTGCTTTTGGGACTTGGATTTGTTGGATTTGGAATTGAAAAGTTTAACTTGGATGTGTTTTTAGGTTGTATTGAAAAGGCCTATATGTTTGGGCTTAGTAAACAATCCACAAAAAATTTTATTTTTGTAAAATAATCTGTTAACCGACCGAACCGACCGACTAATTCGGTTCGGTTGTGTTTCGGTTTTAAGCAATGTTTCGGTCGGTTCGATTTTAATCATATTGTTGTTCGGTTAATTCGGGTTTTGTATTTTGGTTCGGTCGGTCGACCGAACCGACCGATGAACACCCCTAGACTGTCCTTTCCACAATAAAACTCTCTTACAGAAATGTCATTTCATTACTTGTTTCCAGTTACTTGCTAAAACATTATCAAAATCGTTTCCACTAGAAAATAGCAAACATAATAAGTTCCAAAGTTCCAACCTTGTTTTTGTTTTTTACCAATGATGTTGACCTAACATGAAAGAGCAATGGATGGTCATGAACTTAAGATTCGTAAATAACTTAATTATATTATTATAAAAGCTTCTCTACTTATCACAAAAAAAAAAGAAAGAAAAAAAGTAATAGACGGAACTAATTTAAAAATAGGGCACATCCCCCAACTTAATAAAGATAGCAATAAATAAAAGAAAGACGTGTGATAGATTAAACTACAATTTAATTAATTATAAATACGACCGATTTTTACATCCACCGTTGAATTATCTATTCACTGAATCTATTGAAATATATCTGATATAGCAACCAGTATAGTTCGAGGAACCATCTTGAGTGGTCACCGGCAAAAAAAGTTTTTTCGTCCCTTAAGTCACTCCGATTTTAATTTTGGTCCCGTAAATAGAGCGTTTTTGGAAATAGTCTTGTAAGTGAAAACAATTCGTTTTTTTTATCACATGACCGCCTATAGCATGTCAGATCCGGCTGCCTACGTGGAAATTTTACCTGGATTTTTTTTTATGAGTTGTAACGCTACGTGGCCCTTATGTGGCATAGCTGCAAAAAATATGCTAAGGAGCAGTTTCGAACCCAGGTCCAATGGGACATTAAAAGAGCTCATGAACCACTTGAGCTAAAACGCAGTTTCGAACCCAGGTCCAATGGGGCATTAAAAGAGCTCATGAACCACTTGAGCTAAAACGATATTTTTTGCAACTATGCCACATAAGGGCCACGTAGCATTACAACTCATCAAAAAAAATAAATAAATAAATAAGAAAAAAAAAATCAGGTGAAATTTCCACGTAGGCAGCCGATAAATTTGACCTGCTATAGGAGGTCAGAGGACCAAAAAATGATTTTTTTTTTCAGTTACAGGACTATTTCCAAAAACGCTCCATTTGCGGGACCAAAATTAAAGTCGGGGCGATTAAGGGACGAAAAAACCTTTTCTTGCCATGGTTACCTCAGGCGTGGTCAGTTCTAAAGAGCTCAGCTCGTTCTCAACACACGACCACCTCAATGAGCTAGCTTAAGTAGCTCAAGGTACAAGTTGGCTTGGTAAGAGAGCTAAGGGGTCGAAGAACCTCAGGAGTTTGGATACTTGAGGGGATCTCATGACCCGTAGGTCGTAGAAGGAGAGGTCGCAGTTGTTATCGTTCATTTTGTGTCGTTTGTGTTTGTGTTGTTTAGGACTTGTGTTTTTTGTTTAGGCCGTTGGACCCTGCGAGTCTGAGTGTGAGCGGGTATTACTCCGTTGGGGTCGTTTTAGTCTTCTGTTTGGGAATTAGATGTAGTTTTTGTAATTTCTTTGTCTTTGTGTTGTGAGTTATTTTCCAGTGTTGCTAGGTGGGCTTTAGGCGATCTTCTGACATGTCCTCCCAATTTTTCAGCTGCTGGTTGTCCTATTCAGCCAGGGACTACGTAATTTGTACTTTTGTGCATTTTAATATATAAATTTCTCTATCGTTTTGGAAAAAAAAAAATAGAAATGTGGCTCATTAAAATAGATGAGTAGTGTCGGTTCCCTATACAAATAATTTGATTAACATTTAATATCTTAGCAAGACGAATTGATACTTTTTTGGCGTCACTAGATTATAGTCAAAAACAAACTTCGCCATTATTAAAGATCACTCAAAACATTTTTTTTTTTTTAAAGTGTATGGGGCAGTAGTACATTTAATTATGGTCTGATAAATGACAAGGTCATAAAATCATGCGTGAAACCTGAGTTTGTCTTCATTGGAAAAACCAAGTGGAAAAGGTTTTCATCGGCACAAAAACTTCATTGAAAGGCCGATTTCGCCAGCATTGCTTCATAATTGATAAGAATATGACAAAACTCGATATTCGATTGCATGTGAAAGAACATTGAATTTTAAGGCACGAGATCGTGAATGTCTTATGATATTGCGACTTGATAGGTATAAAAATGTGCACGTTTTATATATTTAATAGTGTATTCTTATATACTTAATTTATCCGCACTTTTATATTTTCGACCTATTTATTATCTGGATGGATTTATTGACTTTTATGTTGTATGTGTTATTTTCAGTATTTTGAAGTATTTTGTGGTCGTGAAGCATTGGACCGAAGTTCACGCGATTAATTATCGAGCGACCCATGCCGGCCCATGTTTAAGCTAATTGTTAAAGAAGTTAATCAAAGGCCACTTAGTTAATTGAGGGGAGAAAGAATTAAAATAAAGAGGCAAAAGCTCCGTCCATAGCCACGCTGCAGGGGAAAGGATTTATTTGGGCTAGTGGATTTATTTGTGAGAACTTAGATGGCTAACAATTAATTAGTCAGGAAAGAAAAAAAAAAAGCAAATAGAAAAGAGCCGTGATTGCTGGAGAGGTCAAAATTGTGGGGAGAATTATTTGCGGCAAAGGGAATTATCGACGAGAGGGACTCACGCTGTCACGCATAACATATATTTGAGGACCGTGAGGAATTATTGATTTTTACGAAAAGAAAAAGCCGTACATAGAAAAGAAAAAGAGACAAGCGGAACAGATAGACGCACAGAAGAAAAACGCAGACAGTTCACGCACAGACTGAGAGGAGAGCTCTACACGCGGAGGGAAGCCGCACTCGTACACGAGGGAGATTATATTTTCTCTCTTTTATTTTTTTCTTTATTTTTTTAGTATGTTAGGCTAGTATTTTTATTCAGTTTGAGGGGATGTTTGAACCCTAACTTTGATTTGTCTATGAATTGAAGGATCTTTATTTTTATTGTTGGTTAATTAAGACGCCGTATTTATTTTTGTTGATGAGTTGATTCATGCTATCTTTGTCGAATGTTTATGAATTATGAGTGTTTGATTTAGTTTGGCCAGTTAGGTTGAATATTCATGATTTTATTGCTAGATTCGGAACTTTAATCCGTAATTATTATTGTCTCGTTTCGTTAGTAGTAAAGTAGGGGTCGTGCATCTCTAGGATAGCGTGTACATAAATTAAATGGTCCGAGCTTGTGCGTCCATTGCTTAGATTGACCTATTTTTCTAGAAATTAATGCTGCTAGTGCACTAAATCTAGAGAGCTTATTCTAGGTTGTCCACTAGTTAGGTTTAGTCGAAGAGCCTGTTTCGATTAAATATTCTGTAAGGGAAAATTCGGTTAACAGAGCTTGTTGTTAGCTAGGGTTGGTAATTCATTAACAATTTAAAGAAGGCGTCGAAATTAAGTAACGGTAGATTTAGATTGGGTGATAACTGAACCGAAAACTGGACTTCTCTTATTTTATTAGATTTTTATTTTATTTTCTTATTTTTATTTTTATTTTTATAAAACCAATCCCCCCCATCTTTTATTGCTTTCCTAGTTTAATTCAATTAATACGAGATTGTCACAATTTAATTCCTACTCCTCGTGGGATCGACCCTTACTCGCCGCTACTACTAGTTAGTAGAGGTTTGTTCAGGAAAAATTATAAATTTAAATTTGCCGCGTCGCGACGCGCGGTCACAACTCCAATTCCACTTTATAAGAAAGTGGGGAAAACGGGTGCGAGCCCATTAACATGAAGTCAATTGGTGGAAGGAGGAGTAGCAATTAGACTTATAAAGTGGGTCTATTTTCCATGTATGAACGATGTGGTACAACTCACAAGTAATATTCTAACACACTTTGTTGATTGTTAAATTCACACAATTTCGATTATAATTGTCAGATGTGAATAAGATTTCCAATTATGCTGAGATTAATGTGAGAGTAAATAATAATAAATTAAAGTTAATATGATGTATGACAATATTTGATTGATATTATTTAATTAAGTAGATATTATTGAAGATAGCTAAATTGAATAAAATTAAATGAATAGTAATATAAAAAGCATAAAAAAATTATCCGATTAATCAAAACTAGATAATTTTTGCAGCCAATTGCATGTAAGGATGGCCATTTTCCTCTAAAAATAGATATCCGTCTAAAACTGTCCATGAAAATTAATCTAAATTTCAAACAAGGAGTGTCATTTTGCATCTCTTCCAATCTCAACCACATATATTTACACGGTTACAGCTTACTCCAATACAATTATAAAATTAAATACATACAGAAATATATTGGACTCACATTATTGACCCCAAACAACTATAAATCACACTCCCACCCCTCGACACAAGCATCCACAACTGTTTCTTCTTCCCACCTACCATATCTCCCAATAATCCCATTCCTTCTGCAAAAGAACTTCCGACATCACCCAAAGAAACGACGCCGCACTGGCAAAATGATCGAAGTCGAAATCGTGACCGCCTGGCTCACTCCAACCGTACTTTTCTGCATAGTGAACCTCGTGATTGGAACAATTTTCATTACATCTTCCCTCAAGCCTCAAAAATACCACAAACATATCCAGGATGACCACCCGGCCCGGACTCCATCCGTTTTCGAACGGGTCAAGTCTTTTAACCTCTCCATCTACCCGACCCGTGAACAGGAGCCCGAGATCCAAGCCCAAATGACCCGAGCCCCGTCCTTTCTCCAACGGGTAAAGTCAATCAACCTCTCCAAGTACCACCCGGCCCGTGAACAGGAGCCCGAACATCCACCTCATCAACTGGAGCCCGAAATCCCAGCCCAGATGACCCGAATCCCATCCTTTCTCGAACGGGTCAAATCTATCAACCTCTCCAGTAACCAGCCCCAACACCACCCGGCCCATCAGCAGGAGCCCAAAATCCCGGCCCAGATGGTCCGTATCCCGTCCTTTCTTGAGCGGGTCAAGTCCATTAATCTCTCCAGGTACCTAGCCCATGAACAAGAGCCTGAACATCCGGCCCACCAGCAAGAGCCCGACCGCTTGTCGACCGGGGCTGAGCCCAGGGTTCTGAAGAAGTCGGCGAGCGAGAAGGGGGCGGTGAAGGGGGAAGAGGAGGCGGAGGAGCAGCGGAGGCCGGCGACGACGAGGGAGAAGGGGGCGGCGGAGCACGGCGGGGATGAGGCGGTGGACGCGAAGGCGGACGATTTCATAAACAGGTTCAGGCAGCAGCTGAAGCTGCAGAGGCTGGATTCCATTGTGAGGTACAGAGAGATGGTCGGCAGAGGGACGGGCAGGTGAGGCTAATTTGACGATTATGCCCCTCTATTGACGAGGGATATAATTATTGGATTTCGGAAGTTCGAAAATGTATGTCGGTCATTTTAGTGCCCGCGTTGCGAGAAGATATTTTTTTCCCCCTTTTCCTTCTCAGCAATGGATTTAGCGTATGGTCCTTCTCTATCAAATTTTCTAGTGATAAAAATAAACAAATTGAGGGGAATTTATGTATGGGATATGTCCTCTCTTTATTCTGAACAAGCTGCATGACTCGTATTAGTGTTTGGCCCGTGCGATGCACGGGAAAACAATATTTTAATTGTATTATAAATTAAATAAATTAATAACATTAATCATGATTTACTTATTATTTTTAAATTAAATCGGGTCGGGCACAGTCCGACCGGATGGACCGAGAACCGGTTTATAACCAGTCTAGTGCGCTTGAATAAAATATCTGCTATCGAATACGTCAACACCAGTCTGTTGGACTGATAAGATTTTCTAAACAAATTTTGTTACATTAAAAATTATTTTAAATAAAATTACATAAATAAAATAGAGATTTATAAATTGTTTATCAATTAGTTTAAATATTTGAATTTATAAATTATTTAGATATTTAAGTAACAATTTTTATTTAAATTTACTACAAAAAGTACCATATATATACACTAAAGTATAATGTATTAAAATCTGAACAACCATAAATGATTTAATATCCGATTTTGAAAACCTTATATTTACCGTACATTAATATAAATTATGTACTTTGAAAAGTTTGTAACCATTAATTTAGGAACCATCCAATTTTAAATGATTTATAAGTTTTGAAACATGATAGGTGCATTTAAAATCCATTAATTTAGGAATCATCCAATTTTTTGATAATGAATTAAAATTAAAATGTAAAATAAAAAAATTGCTGAAAATAGTATATAATAAATGTGGGTTGACTTTTCCTTACTATTATTTATGGTAAATGTTAATTCTTATTATATATATATAGATTTGATCACGTGCATTTGCACAGTTATAAAACATGTTTTTGTTTGTATTTATTAATTTGAGGGAAAAATTTTTTTAACCTCCCAAAGTATGCCCTTTTTTTGACTTTGCCATATAATTTTTTTTTTGACAATTTGCCTTCCAATGTAATCGAAACTGACAGTTTACCTCCTCAATTGAAAATCCTAATATTGTACAAAAGAGTTTTTAACTCAATTAATGATGAATTTTAAATTAATCTTTAAAATTGATTTAGGGCTTTTAAAGCCCATGTCGAGACGAACAAAATGAGGTATGATTTGTCGATTTTTGAAAATGGATACCTCTAAAATCGATCCACGAAGATAGCAGGAGCACGTGTGTATAGAAAAAATTTCAATTCAAGTTATCTAATAATCAAGATATCCGATTTTCGATTGAGAGGTGTCATTTGAAAGCATAAAGGACGAGTTTTCTATCAATGTAAATCTTATAAAAATCCAACGGTCGGATTTTGGTTAGTAGCCTAAAAAAAAGCTAACTATTGATCAATAGTATTCTAAATACTGATCAAAATTCGACCGTTGAATTTTCATAAGATTTATGTGTTAGAAAAATTGGTCCTACTATCTTTTAAATGACACCTCCCAATCGAAAATCGGATATCTGATTGTCAGAAAACTTAAATTGAAATTTTTTCTATACACACGTGCTACTACTATCTTCGTGGATCGATTATAGAGGTATCAATTTTCAGAATTCGACATATTATACCTCATTTTGTTCGTCTCGCCATGGGCTTTAAAAGCCTTAAATCAATTTTAAAGATTAGTTTAAAATTCATCATTAATTGTGTTAAAAACTCTTTTGTGCCATATTAGGGTTTTCAATCGAGGAGGCAAACTGTCAGTTTTGATTACATTGGGAGACAAATTGTCAAGAAAAAAAAAAAAAGTTTATATGGCAAAGTCAAAAAAACAACATACTTTGGGAGGTTAAAAATTTTCCCTTAATTAGACATGTACTTCTATCATATAAAAATTATTATTTTTTCTTTTGGAGGATAAAAATGTAATTCCATTTGGAGTAATTAATTAGATTAGTGAGTAATTGGGTAAAAATGTAACTCTTTTTTAGACATGATACTTCTATCATATTAATTAGATTAGTGAGTAATTAATTAAAAAAATGTAACTCCTTTTGGAGAGAAATGAAAAAAAAGGTTTTATTAAATGTTTTTTTAAAAATATCAGCTAGTAATTATAGGGGTTGGTTCAAATAAAAAGTGTGAGAACCGTGAGAACCATATTTGGTGCTATTTTTAATTGTGTATGATGTTATTTTTAATCTCACATGGTGCTATCATTTTTACAAATGGTAACATAAATTGTGTTGCTATTTTTAATAAAATACATCCTGATTAAACATAGTACTAAAATACAATCAATCATAGCACTACATACAATTAAAAATAGCGGTTCTCACGGTTCTCACGCTAGGACTTAGTTCTCATTTGAATATAGATTCGGGATCTGTTATTATTTTTAATTTTAACTAGTGCATATCCCGTGTGATACACAGAAGAGCTGATAATTTATACTTTTTTTAGACATTATTTTAAATACATGTTTATATATATATACAAACAATTAAAAACAGATATTAATAAACGATTCTCTTTACACAACATTTTTTACCTAAGTAATATTATTATACCTTTCAGTTTTGATTTTTTTTTTCTTAAATCAATTATCTAATCTATGATTGTTAATGTACAATAATAATTGAAAGAATCCAAAAAGTAAAGTTTATTTTTTACAAATCAAAATAATTCATTTTTTTAAGCACTTTCATATTTCAATTTCAATTTATGCTTCATACCAATTTATTCAATTGTCAACATTAGCCAAAATACTGATCAATTAGAAGAGAAATCAAAATATTATCCTATATAATCTTTTAGAATCAATTTAGTTCATACCTATGAATTTATATACGATGTCGTTAATGGAAAAAATATGAAATATAAAAAATCTCCATATTTTCATATCAATGGACATATATTGTCTAATTTTATTACTTTATTAGTTAAAAAATTTGATAATGAAGGGATGTATATTTGTTAATTTAATTTTCAAAACCTAATTTTTATTTAGTTATTGATATTTTCATAATAATGGGCATAAATCTTCACTGAAAAGGTTTTTTTTTTCATAGGTACGTTGTAGTTTTATAGAATATAAAATTATATTTTTTTATTAGATATCCATGTGTATTCATGTATATCCAATCATATAAGTTTATAGAAATGAAAAACTAAAATGCGTTGGTCTATTATGTTGTAAATTCATTTCATACCTATTAATTTATATAGGTTGTCGTTATATGAAAAAGAAAATCGGTATTAAAAAAATATCTCCAAATTCCATAGGAATGGACATATTACTTTATCTCTTCATTAGTTAATATTTCGACAATGTACAAATAATAATCTATGATTGGTAATGTACAAATAATAATGGAAAGAATCCAAAAAGTAAAGTTTATTTTTTACAAATCAAAATAATCCAATTTTTTTAAGCACTTTCATATTCCAATTTCAATGTATACTTCATTCTAATTTATTCAATGGTCAACATTAGTCAAATTACTGATCAAATTAGAAGAGAAATCCAAATATTATTCTATATCATCTTTTAGAATCAATTTAGTTCATACCTATGAATTTCCATACGATGTCGTTAATGGAAAAAAATATGTAACAAAAAAATCTCCATATTTTCATATCAGTGGATATATATTATCTACTTTATTACTTTATTAGTTAAAAAATTCGATAATGAAGGGACGTGTATTTGTTGACTTGATTTTCAAAACATATTTATTTATTGATATTTTCAGCATTTAATAATTTATTATATTTTTTTTCCAATGGTATGCTATTATATATGTTCCTAATATTTCTCAACATATAAACTTAAGTGTTGTATCCCGTCATTTTTTATCAACAAAAGATTTATGTAAATCTTTCATGTAGTTTTATTTAATGGTTAACATTAGTCAAATTACTGATCAAATTAGAAGAGAAATCCAAATATCATCTTATATCATCTTTTTCTTTTTGTTATTTATTTTTTTTAGATTTAATTGCACATAAAATCCTCACCTTTTGTATAATTGCAAATAAAACTCAATTTTTTTATCTTTGCAAATAAATACCAAATATTTATTACGTGTTGCAAATTTGTCTCAAAATCATTTTTAGGCCAATCTTGCTGACGTGCCCGACCAGAACACTAAAATCGCCTAGAAAACACTCAAAAATCGCTCCCCCTGGCCAATTTTTCAGAATTTGGGGCTGAGCTCATAAATGTATTCGGAATGTTGGGGGTGAACTCGATTTTTGGGGGTGAAGAATCGTGCCATGGAGAAGAGAAGAATCGCTGCAAATATTTTTTTTTTCAATTGGGGAGAAGAACTCGATTTTTATGAAGATTATGGAGCAAAAACATGGTGGTAAAATAATATTTTTTTCAATTGGTACTAAACTCTATTTTTGTTTAATTTCATGGCATATGATGTGGCAAAAACATGGTGAGAAGTTTAAAAGATTGAGTGTCACACAAGCCTCATAAGTGTCATGTAAGATTTATGATCGGACACATCAACAAGGATTGGCCGGAAAATGGTTTTGGGACAAATTTGCAACACATAATAAAAGTTTGGTATTTATTTGTAAAGATAAAAAGTTGAGTTTTATTTACAATTATACAAAAGGTGAGGATTTTATGTGCAATTAATTTGTTGGATTCTTTTAACTATAACTAATTATACTAGTATTCAGAATTTAAAATTCAACTCCTCAAATTTTCCGAAAAATGTTACCACACAATCTTTTTTTTATTAAATTATATTTACATAAGATATACATTAGTGGTTAATTTTAAATCGAATCTAAAATTCAACTCCTCACATTTTGGAATTTTGAATTTTTAAATAAGGAAATGTGTTTCCATATTTTTTGGAAGTTAGAA